TGCATAACTTGTACATTTAACATTTTGATTGTAAACATTATAATTATAATTTTACTTCCAGTGCATGTGAAATGCATGATGGAATTAAATTGTGGATAATATCAACTCCATAAACAGTTCCAGTTGTAAGCCCTTCTGCTGAACTTCACATGAAGTGAAATAACGAGAAAGGTTATGTGGATATTTTAGTTGTCCTACTGAATTCAACCTAACAGTATTCCTTCTGTGGGATTCAGATTCGTTCACATTTAAAATATTATGAATTCGATTAACTGACTGACCTCTTATACGCAACGTGGTATGAATAAAGACTTTAACGAAAACTTGAAATATACTAGGATACTGGATACATGTCAGTGTTTTGCATTCTGCCAAGTAAATTTCTTGAAGTACCTTCTTTGTACGGTGACATCGTTTCTTAGTCTCACCATTAACAGAATGTATGTTATGTGCGTCCATATAACCCATCTTTCGGTTACAATACGTCACACCTCTGGATCCCTTTTCGGAAGATAATTATTCAAAACAACGGTTTCTATTATGTCCTGTTTTCTGTCGTAGTTTTTCTGCATTACTTTTTTGGCATTTTACTTTGTTATTCAAACATTTCGCTAAAAGTATTTTGACCAATACGAAGTGAAATTTGATTTCTGTGTATATTAGTGTCTGAACATCAATCTTGCCTCAACATCAAATACAGGCAGTAGGAGTGCCCTTAAACCGAACGGAGGTAATCGGAAAATTCTAAAATCCACACATGAAGACTGAAGGAAGAAAATTGAGCAATACAGACAGGGTATGAAGCGTGTGGAGTTAACTTTGATATGAACATGAACAAAAAATTCTCTTCGAAACGTTTGAAACAATAAGGTTTCACTATGTGGAGTATAAAACAACCAAAAACAAACGTCGAGCTATACATTATCGGGATTAGTAGCAGAAGCAGTAATGGACAGACTAGAAGCCATCGTCTTACCGATAATCAGACAGAAAATGTCGATACGCTCTGTAGACGCTACTCTTCTCATTAAAAAGAATAAGTTAGGTGGCCTTCAAATCCTCAATTACATAAGCAACAACTGGAAAACGCTGAAATTAACTCCAAAGATTTTTTCAAATACCAAAACACTTCTGTGAAATAAACTCACGTAAAAATGAACAAAATTTGGTTTATGACTATACTGAAGAAGTGGGGTTTCCCACACAAATTCATCATTAGCTGCTTTTTTAAACCACTATCAACTACAAAGTCGCCCACGGAAATAAACAAACAGTTCATTATACTGTTCATATACGAATTCAACTGCAACAACTGCAATAAACACCGAATTTGAAAACGTATTTCCCTCACTCTACCTTCATCTACACAAACACGAGTTGACGAATGAGCTTCCTAACATTTCATGTGTTATAACGATGCATGCTGGTAACGATGGACATGAAGTCCAATTTGAAAATATAGCGATCAAATACAGTGGAAACAAAGAACACCGACTAATTCCTAAAACCTTAAGATTCAGGACCACCAGTAGTCAAATAGTAGGAAAGTGAAAAACAACTCCAAAGTCAAAAGTCAGGCAGCGAAACTGCCAATTGAAAAACCTTTGGAGTCACTGACACAACAGTGAAAGAAAACAACTAATCACACCCTACTTCATCAGCATCAACAAGTGAAGAAATCATGGAGAAATCCTGATGGGTCACTTTATATTGAAGTTAGTAATGATGATGTTGTCTGAAATAACTATGAAAGCATCACGATTAAATCATTCAGCCCATGGAACGAACATCTACTTGAGCTAGAAATATTCTTCATCATTTCACTATCACATGCATATTTATAATTTGCATGTCAAGTGAAGACTGGAAGGAATAAGACAAAAGAGTGGGTTTTACTTTCAGAAGAAGGTGTATAGATCCAAAACGATTATCTTATTGTGCAAAACGGGCATCCCACTGAAAGATTTACATGAAATTCTGTATTCTTCACTGATGTGCAAAAAATACTCTGACTGGTATGATTACTACGATGAATTTTAAAATGCATTTCTCATCATCAGGTAATATTACCTGAAGAACTACTGGAAGTTGAAAACATCGGACCACTATGTCGACAGAGTTTAGGACTTCAAAATAGCATACACTAGTGACTTCATCAAGAATCAAGCTCGACAATACCTAGTTCCTCAGGAAGCACCTTACAATTCGGTCAACGGCTTGAGATCCAATTATGGATGTCCTTTTATCTGAGTCGTTTCATCTCGCAGCATAATAATCATCGGTAGACACTCATTTTCACACCTAACTTTGCCCATTCTACTGCTTTCGACTGTTGTTGTGATATCTGGAGTCATTTCCTAACTTTTCTCCATAATTCTGCGAATTCCACTTTTGTCTTCAAATGAGCTCTTTATATCGAATGCCATTTTCTGTGTTTTTTCCTGTCAAACGAACTCTCATACATTAGAATACTTTTCAATGTGGAACTCTGTTTATCTGATACAGGTATTCCGAATCATAGTTAGCGATAAATTTCACCATTATTTTCCTTTTCAAACTAGTATTCGTCCGGCTTTAACCGTAGATAACTTACTGGCTATAAACTAGAATTCTGCATATGAAATCAGATGACTATTTTAAACACTTCACTCATATGTCTACGACTATGATAGCTAAATGTTGCGCTAACACGAATATATTTCCGACCAAACTGTACCCTTTGAAGTATGAATGCAGTTTGAGCTGACGTTCACAGAGTGTACTAAGAGAATTCTGGATTACGCATTAGCCTTATGGTTATGTGTGAATAAAAAGTACTAAAGTAAAACTACAATCTTTATTAGTTAGCCATTTTTTTAAAGACAAAATTGAGATGTATAATAAAGAAACAGTCTTTCAGATATTCTGTATAACTTTCAGTTGATCTGTTAGATGTTTCACGTAGTGAAAGTACCATTCACTGGATTCTGTTTCTGGCACAATTTATGGTCCACAGTCACAATCATTTCAAGCGGTTAGGTTAACCGAATTATTTCGTCCAATAGAGTAAATCGGATCTTTTAACCAAAAACTTGTTTTTAAGTGACTTTATGTGTCCATCATGAAGAACAAGAGAGAATAAGGAACATAAAACCTGTGTCTTGAAGTTGTGGAGTTTTTTAAAATATGACTTTGGACTATAAACTGCATCCCAAAACGTGATTCAGTAATAATACTGTTTCACTATATGATACATCTATAAGTCGTCTGAAGCGGAATTTCATTTGACTACAGTGCTCAAGTTCTAATCTTGTTTGCTGCATACTAGTCTTTTAATCGCTATGGTAACAATTTAAGCTACAGGAAGAAAACCTAAATCTTGGTTGCACCGAAACTAATCACTGTGATCTATGGGCATGGTATTATACCTAATGTTCTACAAAATTCGACTTCTCTTCATATCTCAGTTTCACCTGAATCATTAGAAATCTTGGCTAGCTGCGATGTGAACGAGGGATATATTGGTGCTTATTCACTGTCATTATAATAGCTTTCACAAAATTGGCACAGATGATTTACGAAGATAAGGAAAATGACTACTCATAGGTTGAAAGATCACAAAAAGTTAACTGGTGTTGCAGTTTGCAAAATATGAGGGAACGTGGACACATTTCAGGAAAAAATGGTAAATTTAGTTTTTTCTGATTGGTAATTTTTAACATGACCCATTATTTAGGGTATCAAATTCGATAGGTTTAAGGAAATTCAGTCCATAAGCAATACCAGCCTCTCAATTTTTAATGCACAATCATTTGTTTAGTTTGTAGGGAATACTGTGAAGGTTTTATGGATAGAAAAGAAGAAAGGGACTGAATGATGAGAAATCAAGAGATGTGCATTTGAGAAAGTAAGGTACACACAGTAGTCACTCTGGATTCCTAAACTCTAGAAGTTAAATTCTTAAAGACTCTTGTAGCAATGAGTTTTTAAGTTGTGATCAACTGATTGTCCACAGAACAACAGATCGGTCAAACAATGGCGGTTCGTTTGTTCGAACTTTACGAATCAAGCATAGTAATTAAATTAACGAATAATACGCTGCATACCCTTTTGTCGTCAAATGTCTTTCGATAACCCTATCACATATCCATAAGGTTATTATGATCACACGGTTTCCAGAATCATACCGTTTAAATGTTTTAAGGATGCCAGGTGAAAGCTGCTACTCACGAAAAAATTTCAGAAAGTCAAAATAAAGCTGGAACAAAACATTAAATTCCGTGGCTTAGTACTGAACATGTAGCAATCACTGCAGATCGTTTGGAATTTATTTGAAATTTAACCCACAGCTTGAAAGTTGGATCAATTAAGGAAATAAGTCTACTTATTTTTAAATGTTTATTTATAAACATAATCATTTCTAAGCACCTCGTACAAAATGAAGCCAGAATGGAAACATTAAACTTGTAATTAGCTGTAATAAGGAAGTTCTCCTAGTATGTTACACTTGAAAAATATTTTTGTCTAAAGGAGTTCTGTCCTATATTGTACAAAATAACTTCTTTTTTAAAACACCTCTGAAAATTATAAGGATAGAAGTGTTGTTACCTTTCATTCATTTGTCTGCATATCAACTTCAGGGACGTGCGAAAATGTATTTACAATCAGAAACAATTTTGAGGCAGTGCAGCTTATTGACGTTTGCTGATGCCAACTGACCAAGCAATTTCAAAAGCATTTTACCTATGGTTATTTCTCCAACGTGTGAGACAAGGTCATGGTGCAAGTTACGTTCGCCCATCTGTGGCTATGTTCCATGGAAATACTTCCAGATCAAATGGTTGATAGGAAAGATTTTACAGTTAAGCAGATATTTGGATACAGAATTAGGTGGCCACTGTTAGTTTCCGTTTTTGTTCAACATTGAAATACCTCACAGACATCGTTCCACTTAACACTAGATTATCTAGTAACCAGTCAGTGTGGACAATGCCTTTTCAGATGCATTAACAGTGTAGTTTCTACTTAGATTTGGAACAAATGGAATCACTTACATTCGGTAAAAGTATACTATACGATAAAAGGCTGCTTTCAGCGTTCTGCTGTTGAAAAGGAGAATTTACTGACTGGTACTCCGTTGCACTGAGATATTTTACTGAAGGATTGTTATCCTTGAAACCTGTTTGATAATTATATTTACTTTGACCATTAAGTTGACTATGATAAGAATTTTGCTGCTCACTTGATTTGCAAATTACATGTTGATGACAATGATGCTGACGACACTTTGAAGAATGTCGGCTGTGCTGACGGGGATGATTTGGATGCGGATGACCGTGTTGATGTTGCTGTTGGTGGTGATGATGATGACGACGAAAAAGCGGAAAAGAAGTTGATTTTCTGAACTGAACTTGTTTACGATACCACCAATGGCAACAAAGTAATCGTTTGAATGCTCTACGAAATTCATTCATTGAATGAGCATATATAATTGGATTAATGCATGAATTAATATAACCTAACCAGGTAACAATAATAATTATTTGTTTGAATGTTTCATTTTTATTAATCGAGTATGGATTAATAGCGGTTACTACGTTGCAGACAAAAAATGGTAACCAACATAATATAAATAAACCCATTACAATACCAAGTGTTTTAGCAGCTTTCTGTTCTCGTACAAATTTACAAACACGTTTAGTTTTTGCAAATTCTCTCAGCTGACTTATCCAATACTTAGTCTTTGATAATGGATATGTTGTTTGTTGACCTGTATTAGTCATCATGTCAGTTAAACCACTGACACTATCGCCCCCACTGTTGCCATGGATAGTCGTGACGATATTACCGGACATAGTATCGATGACAGAAGTATTATTAATGCTTTGTTGATTCATCACCAGTCTAGCTACAGAAGTTTTCAATTTGTCACAGGGTAATTCATAAGTATAACATACATGGTTATTATGTTTCGTAATGTTACCCGACTGACTACAAATGGAAGATGGCGATGACTGTTTCTGTAGATATGATGACACTAGAATATTTTGTTGTTCTACGTAACTGAAAGACTGTGAGTTTCTTCTAGTTGTGGACAAATGACAAGGTGATAATTGCTGCCGTTGATACTGATGTCTTTTAAAAAGGTGACTGATTGGCTGTGTTTGTGATAAACAGCTTAAAATGCTGGAGGAATGTGATCGTCTAACATTAAGTTGATTTTTTATTTGAGGAGTTGTCAGTTTACTGGAATTAAATCCATCTGAAGGCACTTGTGAATCCAGTGATATTTGTGTTAATGAATACGTAAGATTCCAGTGAAGCTTTCCACTTTTTGAGTTTATCCTATCAGATTTCCTGACGGATGGTACCGTGGAATTAGCCAAAACGCTATGAGTAATACAACTTTTAGTTTTAGTAATGATGCGTGTATTTGCATTTAACACTGTGTTAAATTTCTGTTTATTTTTTGAACAAATCGAGTCGGTAAATTTTATCTTATTATTTATCTGTTTTCTTTTAATCTTAGTTTTATCAAAATAACTCAGTGATAAGCGATTTCGTTTGGAATATGATTTGAATTTTGGTGTTTTCAAGTTGTTATTACTCCTAGTGTTAATACTGTCAACTTGTCCGCCCCGATGTATTCGAAGTATCATTGTATCTGCTTGTGACACTGAAAAATGTGATGACAAGCAGTCGTGTGATTTGATTTGACCTTGATTTCTCCTAAACCATGACTTTGATTTTTGTTGTCTCGGAGAATAGGTTGTCAATAATTTCAAACTGGGCGGTGAATGGCTCTTGGGATTTGAACAAACAACAATTTTTTCACCACTTTTTAGACTTTTCATTAAATTACTTGCTGTTTGATAGATACGTGCATAAACAACCAGCATAACTGTCAATGGGATGTAAAATGATATACATGAGGAAACAATTAAATAAATACTATCTGATGTAAACTGACAAACATTTCTCGACTTGGTTGTATAATCCTCAGTATTCCTCCACCATAATATAGCTGGAACGATATAAGAATAGAACATATCCAAACAAAGGTAAGCATTAGTAAACAGTGACGTCGTGTTCTCATTGATGTATGCTTGATGGGATTCTCTGTTGCCCAAAATCTTTCTAGTGCTATAGCGCATAAATTTAAAATAGAAGCTGTTGAGCTTAACACATCAAACGCATGCCATGCATCACACCATTCTCTACCAAATGGCCAATATTCATCATATAATGTATGAAAAATAGCGAATGGCATAACAATGATACCCACTAATAAGTCAGCTATCGCCAATGACGCTAAGAACCAATTGGTTAGATTTTTCCGCATATATCTTTCACGCAGAAATGCAATAAAGACAAGAAAGTTGCCGATGACAGTTAACACAGCGGCGATAATTAATATAACTCCAATAAGAATAGATTTCCATGAACTATAATCAACAATTACTGTGTAGACAGTAAAATTTGTTATATTTTCAACATAATTATTGGTACTTTTGTTATTAGGGTTAGAAAGGTTAAGTAAACTCAAGACGTAATTTTCAAATTTTTCAGCTAGTGATAACATTATCATCCTGCACTTAAAATAACCATATAATCATACTTTGTGACGTATGTTAATTTATGTCGTTAGGGGAAGACTTTATTATTGTCAACATCAACATTCGAAAGAAATATGTGAATAAAATTGCTATTTCTTTATTTATTCGTAAAATTTATGTGTATCTTTGTCCATTCATAACTACTCATTTTCAGTGATCCAGTGGACCAATAGATTTTCGCCTAGAAGGAGTGGGTGTTTATTAAAATTTACCTATCATAGTGAGCGATTTTACGTAAGCTTATAAATCAATTATCGATGATCATACACTAACTAGCATTTAGAACTATCCGCTTTTTTCGTTCAAGAGTAGTATCAGATGAATTTGTTTTTATATTTAATATAACTCAAGTAAGGAATAAGCGAAGCACTAAAGAAGTTAAATTAGCACGATATGTTCGATATGTATGCAACGTCTGACAAATCAAACGCTTTTGCGAAAGAAAGGAGCTGGATTGATAACGTAGTCGAAAGTTGATTTACAAAAAGGTTTTAGCGGCAGAATACAGGAATTGGGGATCAATTGGATATTTTCTTCATGTAAATCAGTGAACAGCAGAGTTTCTCAAGGTCAACATCCCTTCCCAATTGTGTGAATGAGTTGTCCAAGAAGACTAAGTTTTCTGCTTTTGTTCGTAGACGATGTAAGGATCTGGAGAGCCACATGGAGTGGCGAATATAGGCTGATTCTACAGGACGACGTAAGTGTTCTAGTTTGCTGGTCTAGAAGATGGTTGTGGAAGTTTATATAACCAAGACTCTAGCTATGTCACTCAGTCACTACGACCTAAATGGTAGCTTGATTAATAATATGCTGCCGTAAGAAGTGAGCGAATGTAGAGACTAATGATAACTGTCATAATAATAGTGATAGTAATAGTCGTTTTATTCCGAACACTGTTTTGGTACAGTTTGTGACTTTCAGCATTATCTAATGCAACATGTATATATACCTTAACAACATTCAAACGGTGTTAATGTAAGAATTTAAATTATGTAAAGAATATTTATAATGAGGACAACTTTAAATTGTTAATTAAACTATTGGTTAGAGATTATTTATCATAGCAAAGTAGATAAATATGTTCTGTAGTTGCTGGAACAGGCATTCGATCTACCGCCAAAAGCCTAATAGGTTTTAGCCATCTACCATGGTCCGTTACCTTAACTTGATTGTCAACTTCCAGAGCGATGCATCGCAACGATTTTAAAAATGCGCGACAGTATGTAATACAACTAAATGACATAAATGAATGGTTGAAACAATGTGGAAATGGAACATTCAATGGAATATATTCCTTGGTAAATAGGGTAGCCCATAGTTCAAGCAGGCTGCCAAACTAGTTAACAGCTGTCATCGTTAGTCAATGCTTTCAAGTGTCAGCAAACTGTTTTTTGGGATCTAGAGATACTTTCCAGTCTTAAGTTCATCGAAAAGGACGTTTTAAACTTTTATAAGGACACTCTAAGGATTTTATAGCAAAAGTACTGAATGCCCATTTGAGAGATGTGGTTCTAAATTCAACGTTTAAGTAAAAGGAGGATGGAACCTAAAACCTTCAGAGGGCGCTTCAGCTTCTCATACAAAGAAAACCAAGATTCATCAGATCTTTTTTCACTGTCTATGATATAATAAGACGTTATCTGACTTTTAAATATAATTCCTTGGATAACGATTTATGCATTAACTTATTTCACTTATTGTCCCCCCGAGAGAAAATCTCGAATGCAGTACATAGTGCTTACAGCTTTTTCTGATGCCTTTACCGAAAACCTGATTTCTACAGTGCTTAAACTAGCGAAAGATAATACATGTCATTGGCTTGCTGTTTTTATTCCTGAAGAATGAAGACTGAAGATTACTTACTTGCTATATACTGTATTATCAATTCCACATGCAAAAGTAACTTAACTGTCGTTATGTGACGAACATTGCCATATGTTTTTACATTATTGATTGTCATTCATTGCAGTCATAATACTGCTAATAAATTTTCCAAGGCAGTCCAAAAATTTTATTTTAATCTAACAACTCAGTAGCCTAGTGGGTAGCACTGCAGCATCTGAATTGCGCAGCAACCCCCAACAAGAGTATAACAAACGTTGAATTCTCTCAAAAAAAAGAAATGACACAACAAATGATATTGTTGAGTAATTGATATTAGTATATAGTGAGAGTCATCTAAGAAACACATTTCCTTCGATAATCATCTTTAATTCGTACCAAAACGACCAAAATGAATTTCCTGAATAAAAATTTCCAGCATAATTGAAGATTTCAATGATTTTGTTGGGTAACACGTAAAGTGAGTTACCTTAACTAAAACTGGCTAATGTTAATCAAAATACTGCACGAATTAGGTAGAGATGATTATCATAAGATAAAAGTAGATTGTGTGTCAGCAGGAATCGTGCAAAGACTAACCGTTTTACAACAATTTTCCACCATGAAAGCCCATAAGATAACGGTGTAAACTTCGTTGACCAGTAACGAAACTCGTCCATCGTCAGGCAACAGCTACCTTAGCAGATTATCTGTTTTTGACTTATTGAAAAAACTTGTCTTAACTGTGAGTTGATGGTGATACACTTAGCTACCACTATGAGAGTCATAGTTACTTACATCTATGAGACCGAAGAATAAAATAATTAGGCATATCAGAAATTTCAAATGATAAGCTGCTAGAATTCAAAAGCAATTGAAGAACATTTTTATTTTTCTTCTCAACTCACTCAGGTTATCTAAGATCAACATCAAGAGTAAGAGTAAAATATATGATAACGATCGAAATTACGATCAGCACACATGTCTACTAACCTCGCCTGGTTAACTAGTTCAATAGTTACTAGCCAGTCCTAAGCCCGAGTAAAGACGGAAGGTTGGGCGTGAGGCTAGCAACCCTACCCCATAAAACCAATCCAACCCCAACAGAAACTTCAAAGCACAGACAAATACAAAAAATTAAAACAAACCTATTCCTTGCTTGAATCGCAGAGACGAAATGACGCTAATTGGTGGAAGTCTTCGGGAAGCCAATTGGCAGATGTCTCTTCTCTCGATGAAAGCGAAAGTAAGATTGGGGATATGAAATGTCCGAACATACCAAGGCTGCAAAGACTGCGAAAGAGATGAGGAGGTATAGCATGAATCTGAGAGAGCAGATGAAATGGAAGAGGACTATCGAAACTATCAAATCGAGAGTCAATCATCTACACCGATACTGTCAACCAGATGACAATCACAAGCACACTGAGTTATGAAGTGGCTATCATAATGTCCCCAACAACATCGAAGGCTCTCATTCAGTGGGTACCAATCTCCTCCTGCAGGATCATGAAGACCAGATTCAAATCAACAGGAAGGAAAGTCACAATCATACAACGCTACACCACACACCGATAAAAAATGCAGATGAAGAGAAGAAGGAAGAATTCTACAGAAAACTGTAATCAGTACTGGATGATACTCCATTCCAGTTGGCGACATCAAAATTCTAATGGGTGGAGTGACATGAATGCCAAACTGGGAGTAGAAAACACAGGAAGAGAACTGATCATGGGTTGACGAGCACTCGGTGAAATGAATGAGAATGGAGAACTGTTTGCAGACTTCTGTGCATTCAACTATTTGGTGATTGGAGGAGAGGCAGTGTGTACAAACACAAGGGTATTCACAAGGCAACGACATGGATTTGATTTCACCAGACACCAGGACATACTGCACTAGAAAGCAGATCGACTTCATCTCAATGTGAAGATGAGATGCAGCCTACTGGACACAAGATCAGATGGAGAAGAGGGGTGGATGTAGGTTCCCGATACTCTGTATCTAGTGTAAGTAAGCTACCTCTAAATTCAAGTTGAAGGCCTTCAAAGAAGTTGATGATAGACCTCAATTCAAGTTGAACATTCAGAACAGGAACTGAACTGTAAGACGAAACTACAAAGGAGATCTTCACTTCAGTCAGTCAATCCTTATTTCATTCCAAACCTTCTGCAACAGTGTTGTCAGTATGTCTGCTGTTGTCTCGTCGTCTGTCTGTAGTGCTTCTGGAAGAATTACATCTTGTCCTGCTACCCTCCCTACTTATAGTGTCTTAATTGGCGTTAAGGACTTCACTTCTGTTTCTGTTTGAATGCTTGTTTTCACTGGTAGTTCTGTGGCTGGGCTGCTGGTGAATAAACGAGGTTGTGTTTACTAATTTACTTTCACTTGCAAAAACAACCGCTTATGGAGAATCGTGAGATGTGATTTATTTAGTTTCTTAGGCAGCAATGTCTATACAATGAAATTACTGAACATGTATTTGGAACTGAACACCAAATAAATATCTCTCAAAATTTACAAACTATCAAGTGCTTAGTCAAACAAGCACAGTTCAAGATTGAAAAATTGAGTTCTTTAGGTAAAAAGAAAAGGTGATTATTTTTTATTAACTGTTGTAATTTAATGTTATTTTGGCTCTACCAAATCCTGCTGTTTTCCTGAGTTCTTATCATATTTAATTTGATATTTCCGGCTTTTTTGTTTGCCCGCACAATTCTCTGATCGGTAGCTGTCTTTCCTAATGTTTTTTTTGCTTTGTCCATGTGAAAGTTTAGTTATAATTATCATTTAAACTATATGGTGTTTTGTAGACTTGTGTTCATGCTGGGAGACGATTGAATGAGAAATGAAAATTTTGGCCACCACAGGATTCGGTCCATCGACCACGGGGTTTCTGGTCTAGCTACAAGACCATTGAAATGAAATAAAAATCTCGTCAGCAGTTGGGTTTGCAGCTCATTTGGTAGAGCGTCGGTACGGAATCCCGCTGTTTGATGGTTCAAATCCTGCCGTGACTCAAATTTCCATTTAACCTTCAGTCATCATCAGGTATAAATCTAAAGTTCTTGGTCTAATCGTATGACGAATAACACCTTGAAATCAATAGATCTCCACAAATCTCAAGACTGAATTACTATCT